TACTTATAAATATATTATTTACTTAATTTTTTTTATAATTTAGATAAAATATTTATTTAAATAAATAAAATATTTAAAAATAACATATATATTCATCTCCTATACTCACCCGAATCTCCAGGCTGCAGCTTTGGAAAAAGCAGCCCACTAACTCGAAGTTTTGGGTCCGCCATGCAAACCTTTAACTTTCAAATTATTCAATTAAGTTCTCAGTAACCAAGGACTGTTATTTAAAATATAATCAAACAAGGATGTGATTTCATCAATTCTTCACGTTACCAGATTAGGATCTCTTCTAGTAGTAACTATCAAGTAATATCCTCCACGGATTAGTCTAATGCTATCCAACCCGAAAAACAATAATGTTGATGCCTAGAGTGTAGTTTAATTAATGAAGTACCTAATCAATAAAAAAAAAAAAAATTGTTGTAGAAACTCAAATAGTGAAGAGAACAAAAAAAATCTATCATCACAAAAGTTTTCAACTGCAGGTTAATTCAAATATTTAATATTTAAACTATAATCATACTAAACAAATTTTAACGTAAATTTAGGTTTTCAATTGTTTACTCATCTTAATTTTTAAGATTTATCTTATAATTATCTGCTCTCTTAATTTGAAGTAAATAAATTTATGATTTTATCTTTGATTTGAAATCAAACTTTAAAAGTATGAAGTTAAACTATTTTGAGATGATAACAAGAATTAATCCGTTTTATATAACTATTTTGACATAATAGTGATTTAGGATACTTAGTTTTTATATTTTCTAAAAATGAGCACACCTATTCATGCATGATTTTCCAGTGATGCCATGTTACTTGACTGGGGATAAAAGTTTGGGTTAGAAGAAATATGCTTTATACTTATTGCATGATTTTTATTTCCGATATAGTCATTGATCTGTACCCCAAGTATGAGGCTTCTAAACACTAGCCACATTGACATGTTATATGTGAACCAGTTTATTTCTTTTATTTTTGTATCTTGCCATTGAAATATAAATATTGATAAATTCTACATTCGTTAGTAAGAGTTATTAAACGCTCGCATAACTTTAGAAAAAACCATTTATTCATTTTCCATACATAACATTCTATTATATTTGAAGAATCTATTATTTTACAAGTTTTCTTGTAAATATAAAATTAAAAAAGATATTATAGTTTACTTTATGAGATCATCGCATGGTTTTTTTTTTTCTATCCACTATTTTAGGCAACGAGAATAAACATTTTGTGAGTCAAGGTATGTACTGACCTCTTATTCACAAATAGATACAGCTAACTGTACTAACTTGCAAATTCCACTCCATGCATTTCTGGAAATTAACATAACAAAATCTGAATTTAGAGATAATTATGCACAAACAATAGAAAACAAGAGAAAAGGACCTGAGCTTGAGCAATTTCAATGAGGCACCAACAAGAGGAAGATACTCTGTAGTAGTGCATCCAAGATCAACCTGGCATCGTATCCAATCTGATTATGGACCTCCTCTGTTTCTCTCTCTCCTCGATGCGAATCTTCATTACTAGAACTCAAAAAAAAATAATTTGCATTAAATTATAAGCTGCTTTGAAAATAATTAGCATATTTTACACAATCATGTATGAAAGAATTAACGACAAAATATAAGAATAATGATTGACATAAATCCATCCTTTGCATCTTTCATAAAGGATTTTTTTTTTTTTTTTTTTATGAATTGCCCAAGACTACAATGACATGGAAAACAAAAAATTTTCTATCTGAACTTTCTTTCCTTTCACAGCGAACTCAAGCATGATTACCATCCCAAAAAACTCAAGGATATGTCAAGGTATTGGTGAACAATTCTAAATATAAATATGATGAACCCATAAGGTTTCACAGTTTAATAAAGAGAAGCTATACAAAAGATGTAATAACAGTCACAAACCCAAAAAAATAGAAATAGTAGATGATTATAATGTGTGCCCACTTGAGGACTATCTGGATAGGAAAATGGAAATCCACTCTTTGCTTCTTTACTCGTGTTCACTATGGATTGTAGACACGCGAAAAACAGAGCAAGTCAAATTTAGGCATAAAAAACTAAATACATCTAAGTCATTTTGTAAATAATAAAAAACCAATGCTTATAAATTTCAAAATCAATCTCTCACCAATGATCATTAAGAAATAAATCAAGAAAGAAACTGGACAAATCTTGGTTTTCTTCTCTCTAATTCTTTCATTCAATTAGTTCTTTCATCATCCTGCCTTGATTCTTAATTTTGCTCACTCATATTAATTCATTTCTTACACACACAGGCATAAATAATTAGACTCATTTTAAATCAGTAAAAATTGCACAAGGTCCACTTAAAAACAAATAAAATTGAATAAATAAGTATCTAAATGTTTCACTAAAACCACTCCAACATAAAAAGGCATAGAAACCAACCTTGAACAAAAAACAATCATAACAGAACCTGCTCTAAACTTAATCTCTACATGAATAGAATTGTAAAAAAGAATAAAGTAGATACACAACAGTAGGATAGATAGCAGATCAATCCCAGTTCGTATACAGCATCAAAACTTGCATTCAAACCAAGGGAAAGCCAATTTCTAACAAATGTCAAGAATAATTGAACAAAAATTAAAAAGAAATCAACAAAATAACACTGAAAGCACATTGTTTAGTAAACTACAATCTAGAGCACCGAACTCCCTACCTCATTCCTCATCTTCATCGTCAAAAACAACATAAACAGCTATTCGAAGCGATTGCAGTTCAAGATTGGCTGCTTCCCTCTTACAGCAAGAAAGAACCTCTCATGAGCGACCCATAACATATTGGCCAACCCGTGAGCCAGCAGCAGGGCCTTATGCTTTCCTCGCTAGAAGAACATTGTGAATGGGAAAACCCACAACCTCTGAACCACCAAACTAGTGCAATATCTCAATATATTATTGGCCATATGGCTGCATAACTTAAATGCCTGAGAAGCCGAAAAAAAAAAAAAAACCAATTACAGTTGGTTAAAGGAAAGAAGAAAGTAATTATATATATTTTTTATATTAATTGCATAATAAAAAATGATCTTTTTTCATTCTATTACTTTACTAGTATATTTACTAATATATTGTGTAATTCAAGTTCAAAATTTTTTAATTTCAATAAAACAAATATTATTAAATTATTTGAGATGTTAGCAAGAAAGAAACTATATTAAATATAGTTTATCATACCTTTTGCAATTTTGCCAAGATATCCCTAACCGAGGAAACAGCAAAATCTGCATGGATGAACTGTGATATCTCGACCTCTACCATCTATTTGTTGAGTAGCAAACTGATTCACCAACATTAATCTATTCAAAAACCATAAAAAAGGTAGAAACAGTCAAATCAACCCCACTGAATACGATAAGAAGTTCGAGCCACCATAAAACAAAGCAGTAATATATAAATAGGTGAAAAAAAAATGGTTTGAGCAAAATGTTAATAACATAACATATAATTGGTAAAGACAGATGCAATATCAGGTCCCAAAAATAAGAGCACCAAATAACCTCATGTCCTAAGCATTGCAATGCTTCTTTCTTTATAAAAGTACCCATTTAATTTGCATCTTGTCCTTAAGTTCATTCAAGACATTGTCACTATATAATGAGGTAAAACTTCAAGAATGATACAATTTTAAAAGAGAATCATCAAATAAAATTTTCTTATTTAATAAAAATAATATATAACGTAAATGGTTTCCCTCACAAACAAAATTTTCTAACATAACGTTGTAAAGCTCAGAGATTACGAAAACAAAATAACGCCGTAAAAATTACAATTATATATCTATATAAAATAATAAAAAATTAAATCAAACTTCTTGTCAACTCTTACCACAAAATTTTTCCCAAAATCTTATGGAGATATATAATTGAACAAATTCTTTTAGGTTAACCCAGTCATGATTGTTATTTCCAAGAGCAAAGCACTTCATGGTATTAAGGAAACTGAATCTGTTGCAATAAAGTAGGAAACTGAATCTGCTGCACTGGAGTAATTACCTAGGATTGTATATTTCCAATTAATGTGTATCTTAGATCTTATTCTAGTCTAATTAGAATTCCTGTATGCAGTAGGATAATATTGTATATAAACACATCTTGTATGGCTGAATAAAGATATAGAAACAGAGTTTCATACCAGATACAGAGTTTCATACTAGTAAGCTGTATTAGTGGTATCAGAGCCCACCTCCAACGAGACCTCTGACCTCTTTACTTCCCAACCATGGACTCCGACAGCAGCTCCTCTGAAACCAACGCAATCAACCCAAACTCAACAGCCACCGTGATCAACAATCAACGCGGCCCCTTCTCATTCAACGTCGCGGCTTTTCCCTTAAAGTTTACTCCAACTAATTATTTATCTTGGAAATCACAATTCACTTGTCTTCTTGCAGGATTTGAGCTCCTTGGTTATTTGGATGGTTCTCATCCATCCCCTGTTGCCACAGAACCAAGCTATAGTCTGTGGGCACGCCAGGATCAGTTAATTCGCCATGCACTGATTACTTCCGTATCCGACAGCATTACACCATACATAGCCACTACAGCTACGGCACAACAGGCATGGGAAACATTAGCAAGACTCTATGCAAATCGATCTCGCACCCGTGTCATCACCCTTAAGGAATGCCTGCAGAACATGCGTCGTGACGGTCGCTCGGTGTCTGAATATCTCCGAGCACTCAAGTCTGTGGCAGATGAATTAGGGACAATAGATCGGCCTCTCACTGATGATGATCTTACAGTCTACATATTGAATGGACTGGGACCAGAATTCCGAGAGATAGCAACCTCTCTTCGTACTCGTGATTCATCCCTCTCCTTTGATGATCTGCACGATCGACTGGTGGCTCATGAGGAAAGCCTTAGGCGAGAGGAACTCAAGGCTGATTCTTCCCCAATAACCGCACACCATGCTTCAATCCTGAAGTCTATGTCGTCTTCACAGGTTGGTCTTTTTCCTCCTGCCTAAAACAATCGTTACTCACCTTCAACTTCTTCACAGAATCGCAGAGGTGGCAACTCATATCAGTAGAGGCCCAACAACAGAAGGTGCGATTCATTCTCCAGGCCCAATAACATTAGTCGACCCACTTGCCAGTTATGTAACCAGGCTGGTCACTTTGCCCGGAGTTGTCTCTATCATCGGATCCAGAATCTGAACCCCCAGGCCAACTATGCTTCTTCTGCGACAGCTGCTGATGATTGGCTCTTAGACTCAGGAGCAACTAATCATGTAACCACTGATTTGGCAAACCTTGCACTCCACTCTGAGTATCATGGTCCTGATGAACTCCAAATTGGTGATGGAACAGTTTTGAATATTACACATGTGGGTCATACCACACTCTCTACTCCCTCTTACTCCCTTCCTTTAAAAGACATATTATGCGTTCTCCAAGCATCTCGAAACTTAATCTCTGTTTCTCAATTATGTAAAAGTGCTGATGTTTTTGTCGAATTTCACCCCACTTTCTTTTTGGTGAAGGATCGTCGCACGAGGGAGACACTGTTGCGAGGCAAAAACACTCATGGGGTCTATCACATCCCCGGTCAAGTTAAAGCACAACCTGCGGCCCTAGTTGGAGAACGTGTTAGTTTGGCAAATTGGCATTCACGTTTAGGTCATCCTTCTACGAAGATCATTAAAACTATTGTTAAAAATTTCCACCTACCTATTTCTAATAATAAAATGAGTTCCCTTTTCTGTGATTCGTGTGCATGTTCCAAAAGTCACAAACTTCCATTTTCAAAGTCATCTATTACAAGCACGCATCCTTTAGAGCATGTCTACTCCGATGTTTGGGGTCCAGCCCCAATCACTTCTGTGGATGGATTCCAATACCTTGTTTTGTTTATTGATTTTTTTAGTCGCTACATATGGATTTTTCCACTCAAACAAAAATCTTATGTTTCTCTAATTTTTCCCAAATTTAAGACTCTTGTGGAAAATCAATTTGACCACAAAATTAAAAATTTTCATTCTGATGGTGGGGGTGAATTTATTGCCTTGCGTGGTTTTCTCTCTCAACAAGGCATCTCTCATTTTATTTCTCTGCCTTACACTCCTGAATTAAATGGTATTAGTAAACGTCGTAACCGTCATATCGTAGAAACTGGTCTTGCCTTCTTGCACCATGCTTCCCTACCTTCCGCTTATTGCTTCCCTACCTTCCGCTTATTGGTCTCATGCTTTTCAAACTGCGGTGTATCTAATTAATAGATTACCCACTGCACTGCTCTCTTCTTTGTCTCCCTTGGAGAAGCTTTTTAAAATTAAACCCAATTATTATAAGTTGCGTGCCTTTGGGTGTTTGTGCTATCCTTGGCTTCGTCCTTATAACACAAACAAATTACAATTTCGATCTCGCCCTTGTGTCTTTCTTGGCTATTCAAATGAGACTTTGGGTTACAAATGTTTGGATTTACAATCTGGGAAACTATATACCTCCCGTCATGTTGTTTTTCAAGAGTCTACTTTCCCATTTAAAAATTCCACTTTCTTGTGTGATGCCTCTAATTCCTCACCGACTTGCCGTGACGTGCCAATGATGCCAAACTCCACGAGTGCAGGTATGAGTGTTGAGCCTCCTCCATTGTTCCCTTGTGTACCGACTCACACTCTCACCGCCCATCTAAGTTCCATAATGTCCAACAAAGCCATGAGCAACCTCCAGCTTCTATTTACCCATTATCTACCCCTATGGCCACTAGCACACCCTCTCCCCTTCCTTCCCTTACTTCACCAGCCTCTCCCATTGCGACCAATTCCGTCCACCAATCCCCTGCCCCATCCGATTCCCACTCCTCCCCTCTTAGGTCCCCACCACCGCAACCTCTTCGAACTCACCCAATGGTCACTCGTTCCCAAAACAATATTTTCAAACCTATTCCGTCCACCAATCCCCTGCCCTATCCGATTCCCACTCCTCCCCTCTTAGGTTCCCACCACCGCAACCTCTTCGGACTCACCCAATGGTCACTCGTTCCCAAAACAATATTTTCAAACCTAAGACACTCTTCCATGCAACCAAATCTCCATTGTCCCTCCCTGTTGAACCCACTTGTGCCACACAAGCTCTTAAGGATCCCAATTGGAGACAGGCTATGTCCGAGGAGTTTAGTGCATTGGTTCGCCAAGGAACGTGGGAACTGGTTCCTTCACACCCATCTCAACATGTTCTTGGTTGCAAATGGGTCTTTCGCTTGAAAAGAGGCAAAGATGGGTCCATTAAGCGCTATAAGGCGCGTCTTGTTGCGAAGGGCTTTCATCAACGACCAGGTTCTGATTACTTTAATACTTTCAGTCCTGTTATCAAGCCTACCACAATTCATACTGTCTTATCTCTTGCAGTGAGTAGGGGGTGGTCTATTCAGCAATTAGATGTTAATAATGCTTTCCTTCATGGACACATTGATGAGGTATTATACATGCAGCAGCCGACAGGCTTTGTGGATCACAATTTTCCTTCACATGTTTGTAGGCTACGAAAATCTTTGTATGGCCTTAAGCAGGCCCCTAGGGCCTGGTTTCGAGCTCTTAAGGACTTCCTTTTGGCTCAAGGCTTTTTTCACTCTAAGTCTGACAATTCCTTATTTATCTATCATAAAGGCTCCACTTGGATCTATTTTTTGGTCTATGTCGACGATATCATTGTTACTGGGAATGATTCTGCTCCAGTTCAATCCATTATGCAAGTCATGAGTGCCACTTTCTCCCTCAAAGATCTTGGTCCCTTGAGTTTTTTTCTCGGCATAGAGGCAATCTCTACTAAGGATGGGCTTTTTCTCTCTCAACAGAGGTATATTCTTGATCTTCTTCAGAAAACTGGTATGGCTGATGCTAAACCTGTCTCCAGTCCTTTGGCTTCTACTTCTGTTCTGCAGCTATCCACTGGCACTCCTCTCTCTGATGGCACCAATTATAGGAAAATTGTTGGCTCTCTTCAGTACCTATCTCTTACGTGGCCTGATCTCTCCTTTGCTGTTAGTCGCTTGTCTCAATTTATGCATCGTCCTACTGATTCTCATTGGCAAGCTGTGAAACGCGTTCTTCGTTATCTTCGCGGTTCTGTCTCTCACGGCTTACTTTTGCGACCCCAGCCAACTTTGTCACTCCATGCATTTTCCGATGCTGATTGGGCTGGAGATCGGGATACTTATACCTCAACCACTGGCTATCTTGTATTTCTTGGCAGCAATCCTCTATCCTGGCGCGCTGCTAAGCAACAAGCAGTTGCTCGAAGCTCTACTGAGGCTGAGTATCGAGCTTTAGCTACTGCTGCCTCTGAAGTTGTTTGGATTCAGCATTTGCTTTCTGAATTGGGTGTCTCCTCATCTATTCCTCCTGCCATTCTTTGTGACAACATTGGTGCCACCTATCTTAGCAGTAATCTTGTTTTTCATTCTTGGATGAAGCACATTGCCATTGATCTTCATTTCGTGCGTGAACTAGTTGATCGGAAGGTTCTACATGTCTCCCACATTTCTTCTCATGATCAATTGGCTGATGCTCTTACCAAGGCCCTTCCCTCACTTCGGTTTCGTTCTTTGAGGTCCAAGATCGGTGTTGCCGATGGCACCTTCGTCTTGCGGGGGCATATTAAGGAAACTAAATCTGCTGCAATAAAGTAGGAAACTGAATCTGCTGCACTGGAGTAATTACCCAGGATTGTATATTTCCAATTAATGTGTATCTTAGATCTTATTCTAGTCTAATTAGAATTCCTGTATGCAGTAGGACAATCTTGTATATAAACACATCTTGTATGGCTGAATAAAGATATAGAAACAGAGTTTCATACCAGATACAGAGTTTCATACCAGTAAGCTGCATTACATGGTACACGATGTCTGGGGCCATGTTAGAAAATCTTCCCCAACCAAAATTTCCAAAATGGTTAGTAAGGTTCAAATTTCAACATAGATTTTTTTTTTTTTTTGGTAAATGAGGATGATATCATTAAACTATGCGCACAAAACTGAAAACATTAGTTGTTCCTGAGAAATTCATATCCCATAATATCTAAAATACATAAAAGCTTGACATTAACGGCACAATGAGGAACAACAAAATCCTGCTGCAGTGAATGTCCCATTCTAGCAATTTGATCGGCAGCCATGTTCGAAATTTCAACATAGATTACACCAAGTGAAATTGCTGCAAAAAGGACATTGACATCGTGAGTTATCCTCTAATGGTCATGAAAATATAAAGATGAGTATGACACAGTAAACAAAACATATCGCCGGGCAGTCGGTTGTTTTAATTTTAAGTGGATTATTGAAGCCGTCCGCCAATGAAACGCCGCCGTAGGATTCTGTGGCACCGATATCGTATTTAAGAAATCCACTCCCTGCACACGAGGAGGTCTTAAATCTATACTATGCCCCTAGCCCTAGATTTCATTTACAACTTAAAACGACGGCAATCCCACACCGCGCCGCTTATGCACTGAGCTCCGAACAGTAAAACAGCAGAAAAGGTCTGTTTTTGTAGCCATGGCGAGGCCTTCTTGGCGCAAATTCTTAACGACATCCCGTTTCCATATCTCTCGCCACATCTCCTCTTCTTCCTCTTGCTCTGAAGCTCTACCTCCCCCTTCCATTCCCTCTCCCCGCGGAGTAGTCGTTACCGGTACGGTAATACCCACTCCACTTTATCGATTCAATGCTTCAATGAGTTTATTGTTGTTCGCATGTTTTGGCATAGAATGATTATTGTTGGGTGCTGGTCTGTTTCAGGTCTGGGGTTGGTGACTCCGCTTGGTTGCGGAGTGGGAACGACATGGAAGCGGTTGATAGAGGGCAATTGTGGGATAAGGGCGATAACGCCTGAAGATCTCAAGATGGGTGCTTTTGATAGAGAGACTGAGTTGCATATATTTGATCAGCTGACTTCTAAAGTTGCGGCAACTGTGCCGTGTGGAATGGGCTCCGGTGATTTCAATGAGGAATTGTGGCTTAATTCAAAGGTAATATCCTGATATGAGTCTTGAGTTTTTCTGTTTATCGGAATATAAATGGATGTTACTTCAATGATTTTTTTATGGTAGAATTTCTCCGCTTTGGGGATATAAGAGTTTAGATAGAAATTAGAGCTTTTTGATCCTTAGGAAATTCGTCATTGAAGTTGCAAATGCAAGTGGTTTTAGAGTTGAGTTTTTAGCTGTCATATTGCTGATGGAAATTAGGTGGTTAAGATTACCATGGCTTTCCATGTCCTTCAGGGGTCTGAATAAGAAAGGGACATCCTTTGCATCTTTCGCAGTGATAGTACTTCTAGTTGTCTGGTGGTGAAATGCCAATATACTTAATTTAGTTTAGATACATGTGCAGTGTCGAATACCTTGCCGGATGACTTGTATTCCATGATTAGCTGTTGACTTTAAATTTTTTGAGGCTTACCAAGTATATTGAAATGATCGAGTTTATACAGGTTATTAGTTCCTTGTGTCATCAACAGCAATCTTTTTTTCTCAGGAGCATTGATCAATTGCAAGGTTTGTTGCCTATGCTCTTTGTGCAGGTGATGAAGCTTTAAAAGATGCAAGATGGCTGCCCATTGAGCAGGAAGAGAAGGAAAGAATGGTAGTCATTTGTTTACTTCTATGTCATTTTTATCTTTTCTCTTTCAGAATTTAATAAATTTGCTAAAAGCAGGGGGTGTCCATTGGTGGAGGGATTGGGGTATCAGTGATATATTAGATGCAGCACAAATGATATGTGAAAAGGTTGTTTTATCATGATACTCAATTTAATTATGATTATTGCTACTATCATATTTTTTTGTGTCTTCATCCTCTTCGGCAGTTCCCCCTACATTAACTATTGGCTTGAAATTATGCTTCTTGGCCATGTAAACAGTTGAAGCGACAAGTGAAAGATCTGCTCTTTTTATACAGTGACTACGTCAGCTTAGTCCATTCTTCATTCCAAGGATATTAATCAACATGGCTTCTCGTCACAGGAGCATAAATATGGATTCCCGGTGTGTATGTAACCTTCAAATGTGATATTTTCAGGAGCTTATGACAGCTTTAAGCCAGTCATGCAGCTAGTTTGTGATGCTGTACTTTGCTTGCAGTAACTTGTTGAAAGGAGACTCAATCTCCTAGTGATCTCAGGCCCCTGTTATGTTCACTTTTATTAAATAACCCTTTTGAGCTTGGAATAGAACTTTTGTGGTTCTACAATATAAATTATGAATTTCAAATGTTAGTCATTAGACTTTGTCTGGATTTTGTTAGCTACATGAAATGTGGATTAATTGTGGAAATTTCCTGGAATAATGCACAAATCTGGTAATGGAGTCTCAATCAAGAATAAGGAAAACCCAGAACAAGGCTGGCAGCAAGAAGCTGTTACCTCATGCTTCCTTGTTTCAATTTCTTAACTAATGCTTTTATAAGGTGGATGATATTCTTAAAAGAAAAACTTAGTTTGC